TATCTTGGTGCAGAGGGCAGGGATATGACAATGCCTCTAACATGTCAGGAAAATTTCAGGGTGTAAAGACAAGAATTTTGGAAGAAAATGCCCAAGCCTATTTTTCTCCATGCATTGCTCACACGCTGAACCTCTGTGGCACCCACGCTATGGAAACCAGTGTAGAGGTAAAAACATATTTTGGAAATGTTCAGAAACTCTATAAAGTATTTGCTCTTAGCCCTGCGAGATGGAAAATTTTGCAGTCCACTGCGAATATATCTCTTCACTCTGTATCTAAAACTAGGTGGAGCACAAGAGTTGATGCTGTTCGCCCCCTAATCAAAAAAAAAAAAAAAAAAAAACACACAGGCGCTTCATTTATCTTCCGAAATCCAGGCACATGTTGACTGTTTGATTAAATGGCTTAAGTCATTTGAATTTGTACTTCTTACTACAATATGGTTTAACGTGCTTCAGTGTATTGATGATAAGAACAAGGTCCTACAAAGCGCCAAATCAACAATGGAAGAGGGAGCTAAACACATGAGCAACTTAGTCAAGGTAATTCAAACATTGAAAGATTCTTGGCCAATTTTTTTGAAGAAGCCAAACAAGTCGCTTCAAGCCTCGGCATGACCCAAAAATGAAAAGTGACTCAAGGATCCGGAAGAACAAGCGATTCTTTGACAACACAGGGGATGCAGACTATACGTTTGATTCTCCCGATATTCAGTTCAAAGTACAGGTGTTCTTCCCGACAATAGATTTGCTTCTATCAGAGCTAGGAGGTCTTGGTGAAAGAATGGCTGAAGTCTCAAATTTATTTTCACCCATTTTGTGTCTGTCAGATAAAGTGGATGAATCTTCTATAGAAAATGTTGTTGACACTTTGGCCACAGCATATCCAAAAGACCTCCAGAGAGAAGATCTTAAAAGAGGAACTTAGAATCTTTTACAAAATAAAAGAAGATTCCAATTTAAGAGTTGATGGACATATAACCTCTGCACTTGCACTTCTTAATGCTCTCTTCAAAAAAGGGTTGGAAAATGTGTTTCCACACATTTGTATTTGTTTACGCCTACTAACAGTGTTGCCAGTGTCGGTAGCATCGGGAGAGCGTGCATTTAGTAAGCTAACATTGATCAAAAATCGTTTGCGTTCAGCCACCGGGGAAGAAAAAGTGAGTAAATGGTTCAGCCTGAGCATAGAATATGAAATGGCCAAAGACATACATTTTGATGACATTATTAATGAGTTCACCAAAATGAAAGCGAGGAAAAAAATTGCAGCTGTATAATTAATGTTCAGAACAACTGGTAAAAAAACAATTTCATAAGAAGCATTATGTAATTGCAAATGTATACATACCATTAAAGCATTTAATGTTTTCAAATAATGTATTGTGTATTTTCAAATTATTAAAAATTAATTTTTAAATGTATTTCACTGGTTATTTTTTACATTTCCAAATACATGTTACTATAGTTTTGCAACTTTTTTTATGGAAGGGCCCCCCGAAATTGCTTTGCCCCAGGCCCCCTGAATCCTCTGGGTGGCCCTGGTCCTGATACTTGAAGCTTTGTCTTATATAGGCGCCTATTTCGCCCACTCCACCCCCATCCCAACACACTTGCTATCTAGTAAGTGTCATTTTCTAGCATCATGTGCTAGCTCGAATGCCAGAGAAACAGTCAAGGGAAGTCATTCAGATGAGAAGTACACAATAAACCGCTGGTACACAACATCCAACAGGCTAACTATATAGCCTAGAGTAATCAGCTGGCATATATAGGCCACTAAATTCACAGCCAAATTAACTTCATAGTTAAGTGACTCATCCCCTCACTTGTACTTATGGCAGGCTGTGCTGCCGTTTGAAAAGAAAATTGTTCAGACACATATGAAAAGCCTTGCGCGCTCTCAGGTAAGTTTTCAAGCCTATTGTAATGGAACATTACAAGGATGACAGGAGTGAAGTATAAAAGAATGGAAAGTTACAAAATGTTACATATGCATCTAGGGCGACAGAAAAGATACTGTCAGAGACAGGATACTGATTAGATGGAACACTGGTCTCAGCCAACATGGCAATTATCTTCCTGTGAGAACAGCATTTTCTCTATTTGCCAAAATTGATGGCCTTACATAATTAAAGCCTATGATGATAGTGCAGAGGCCATTGTTAAAGTTGCACCTACACACTTGATTTTAAGCACTTACCTACCCAAACTTAATGTTCTCTTAGGGCCTGATCCAAAACCCTGGGTAGTCTTGAGTTCAGTGGACTTTGCATGAGGCCCTTAATGCAGGGGACTTTTGGTAGAATTTTTGTTTAAATGCAGAGCCTAATCCCACACTCCATTGCCACAGTTTTACACTCACACAGCTCCACTGGGATCAAAGGGTCTACAACACCACAAAACCAGTGTAATGGTGTGGAGGATTGGGCCCAAAATGATGACAGCAAATAATCTCCAGAGTTACTTGGGAGCGGCCCAAGAGAGTCTCTTTTTTTTAATTGTAGCTTTTGGTTTTAATTGACAGCAGGTTTAAAAAAAAAAAAAAAAAGACAGTTATCCATGTTCTCTAAAGCAAATGTTTTATACTCCCATCATAAAACTCAGCACTGCACACCAGTAACTCTAATTAATTTTCTGCAACTAAATCAACTGTTGTGAGCAAACCTGTTGTATGAAGCAGGAAAAGAGAAAAAAAAAAAAGTACAATACATAACTAGTGCAAACACTATTCAATGGAACTACTCCAGATTTAAGTCAGTGTAAATAAGAGCAGGTTTTGATCTATTCCTAAAACCTAACTAGCAAGAATCAGGGGCCAGATTAAGGCATTAGGTTCTCAGGTAAGTGTGCTGGGTATTCCAACCATACTTATGTTTAAGGCACCTATAAGATAGCTCAAGTCAGAGCAGCTTGTCTGATCTTTCTAGCCCCTGACACTTGTTATTTTATGGCATTTTTTCCTTGAAGGATATCTGTTTTTTCACTGAAGTCACTCACTCTCAGAGCATAGTTTAGAGAATCAGGATTTCAACTCTATTGTTACAACAGAATATTTGAAATTTTCACAAGGCCCAAAAAGAAGAGTTGAGCATTACAAAAGTCTGGATAATATCACCATTTTTAGCTTTCATTTTGAATCCTTGATGATATCTAAATGACCTGGAGTCATATCTATCACCAGACCTTGTGCCAGGGAGAAGTCCAGGTTGGCAGAAACATGTACCATAGGACTGATGGACCAGTTAGGTGAGTCAGAGTGCACTGATGGTACCATGGTCAGCAATAAACTCAGCAAAGGACTGGTCTCTTCCAATGCATTCCCTGGTCACGGAACACAAGACAGGGACAAGAGCACTGTGCATACAAGACTGGTGGGATGTCGGAAGATAATAAGCACTGGCTTCTCTCATCCACAGAATTGTGTAATTGTGCTATGCTTGAGACACTAGCAAAATTAAGTGATACTATTCTTCAATCCAAAGAACAAAGTCTTATCAGTAGAGGGATACATAGAAAACAATGATGATTTCTACTATTTCTGTTGAGAGTTCATATCACCACAGTGACTATTTAATTCTGCCATGTCAGACCTGAAACTTCTTTAGACTAAAGGGGGGGGGGAGACACTTACATTTTTAGGAAAGGACATGTTCATTCAAGGGCTTTTTATAAAAAAGTGGCCTGGAGAAAAGGACTATGGCAATGCCCAATGGTAACAGTGAGCCAGATTCTACAGTTCAGTTTAGCCAGTTTGCTCCATGCTGCTGGCATAATCTGGCTCTAAAGGGAGTTTACCAGCCCAGGGTAAATCACCCAGGGAGTGTAAAGAGGTTCCTCTGGTGATGTAGAGCTGGAGTAGTGACTCTTACACCACTCTTCCTTGCTGCTAAATACTTGTCTCCCAGCAGTATATTATTTAAGTTTATAAAAGTGTCAGTTATAGTGCGGCCAGAGGAAAAGTGGCATTTTGAGATGTTTCTATACTACCCCAATCCTGCACTGAATTTTCAGCCCCCTGGAGCCACTACAGCTCCATGGAAATTGGAGCAACTCATAGGCTGTTCTAGCACAGTTTCCAGGGTCCTGCCTGGCACAGCGCAGCATCAGGGGAGTGCTATAGGGAGCTGCAAGACACCCACTCACCCTTCCCAATTTGCACAATTCATCAAGCTGGACCCCTGGAAATGGCCCAACATGTCTCTTACCAAATTAAAGAGATTAGGGTCACTGGCTCTTCATCCGCCATAAAAATAACTAACTTTTTTCTCTTAACCTCTTGTACAAAACCCTCTGGAATGAGCTCTTGGGTTATCTGGATGGGACAAATTCCAAAACAAGAAGAGGCTCCCTCTTCCTTACATACATTATGATTACAACCACCCCGGGGTTAGTCAGTGCGAAGGGGAAAGCAGCTCTGAAATGGTTCCTTATGGGAAAAGAATCAAGTAACAATAAAAGAAGGGCCAGGAATCCCCTAGACGAGATCAGAAATGTGTAGGAGAGAACGCCTTCAAAGCTACAAGCCACATGATCTGAGATCACATTAGCCTGCTAGCAGACCAGGACTCTGTGCCATCCATTGGGGGACATCAAGGGGGCCTGAAGAGCAGATGCAGATTGGGAGACGGGAGTGCTGAATAGTCACTTACGCCCTGTGGGGCCCAACAACTGGCCAATTCCCCCTCGGAACTGTGAATATACAACGTGTCCCACAGAGGCAAACTCCAGCCTCAGCACGTGGGGCTCTCAGCAGCCCTTCAAACCACCACCAGAGAGACACGTTCAGCATGTTACCGAGAGGGAAATGACACCCCGTACGCGCCGGCTAAAGCCTCTCAGATCAAAAGCACCAGGTCACTCTCCGATCCAAGTGACCTGCCTCTCTCCTTTCCGACTCCCGCAGCTGGAGTGGGGGGATCCCTGCAGGCCGGCTGCTCCAGCGGCGGCTGGGGAGCGGGGCAGGGCTGGAGACCTGCTGGAGCAAGCAGAGCGTTTACCTTGTCAGTGTCACCGGGAGCTCACGTCCAGTCCCCCACGGCGAGGATCCCTCTGTGCTGCTGATGCAAAGCCTGATGCCCGAGCAGCCTCAGTCCATGGAGAGCAGCGGGGAGCCCCTGAGGAACGGCCAGTGCACAGCCAGGCAGCGCCTGCTGGAAACCCCTGCGGGATCCGAGGCGGGTTTCCAGGCTGCGGGGAAAGCGCCTCTCTCGCGGGCGCCCTTCCTCGCTCCCCTTTCCCTCCTGCCTGAATGGGCAGAGAAACACACAGTCAACAGGCAGCGGCGGACGAGCTGCTGCCCCTGCTGCCACCCGGCGGCTCTTCTGGAGAACAGCATCTCCCGCTCGGCTCACAGCGGTTCCCTCCGCACCTCGGCACAGGCTGAAACCACTTAGCTACCACTAACAACTGTTGGACATTTAACAAACCGCAAGTCAGAGCCAAGCAGCGCCTCGTTCTCTCTCTCCCCCTAGTTCATCCAGTGGACTTGACCCTCACCTAGCACGGCTAGTGCTGTCCTCCTGGGCCGGCCCGGGGTGATTTTAAAACACTGCTAGAGTGCTAGCTCTGCTAGCCAGGTGCCGTGGAAGGGTGAATCCCAGGCTCCTAGTAGCTTTGCTATGTGCAGAAGTGGGAGCAAAGAGGGAAAACGACAATAATCTGAGTAGTAAGGGACTTGCTGAGAATCCTGAGAACCGCATGCTTGGGCCAGCCCCCCACAGGGGAAATACTGGGCTAGATGGACCAGAGGTCTGACCCTGTATGGCAATTCCTCTGTTCCCTCCTGCCTTAGCCTCTGGTTCAAGGGGAATGCTCAGCCAGGATTACAATAAGAGATTCCATTCACACACACAGGCCTTCTTAGAAATTCTTTACTTCACCCCCCTGAGCGAGCTCTGTAAAGTGGCAGTGTAGACAGTGCTATGGCACTGGTAGCTAGGCTCCCAGTGCTTTAATGTCAGCTGTGTAGACATACCCTTGGTAACTAGCACCAACCCTACCTTAAAGTGAAAAGGATTGGTAACACCACACCCAACACCTGCCAACCAACCCGGAGAGATTACAGAAAAGAGTAATCAGGCTAGAGTCCTCTGGCACTTCAAAAGGCTAGAGCAGGCAGAGTAACTCACATGTATGCTCTTACACAATTAATTTATCGCAAGGAGAATATTTGCTGTGTGCCAAGACAGTAATGCCCTCAGCAGCTCTCTTTCATGGGAGGGAGCACTGGAATATTTGTCTCCCAGCAATATAGTCATCATTTAAGTGTATACATGGCAATTATGTTAGCTGCTACAGTCTTACAAAGTGCCAAAGTGTTTTGTGTGTGTGGCTGTGATCTCCTTTCAAGACCATTCTCTTCCTGGGAGACTTCGAGAAAAAAAGTCCCTATTAGAATTGAGTGAATGATTTCCAACAAATAATGTATTCAACTATTTTAGCTCCTTTTTCTGATCGTGGAATAGCCATAGATTTCTTTGATTTATTCATTATTAGAACCTTTAAAGTTTTTCTTATTTATAGATTGGTCATTAAAGGTCGCTGCAAGTTTGCACTAATGAATATTTATAATAACAATTGTGTTACCTGGTTTTAGAATTGATCTGGTAAACCACAGCCTATGGTTTGTTTCCTGGATGGATGAGTGGGGAAGTACTTCTAACATGAATACTCACTAAAGAAAGGTTAACTTTTTATTTCTACACAGGGGACTCTGAAATTTGATGCTGACAACATTCATGCTAGTAAAGTGTGATGCTCTGACGTCTGTTGAAAGTGGAACACAGAATGAGTACAAACACAGAGAGTTCTGTTTGAACTTCAAGTCCATGTACAATAGATTTTAAGTATTTGCCTGCCTCTCCACACCATATTAAATATACTGGAACCTAAATTATAACCTAGCTACAGTCCTGTACTACTACTAACAATCTTTCCTTATGATGAAGTGTACCATAATGAGATCTCAATGTCATAACAAGATATCCACAGGGAAAGACTCGTTGCAACTTAGGAAGTTAATCACTATTATTCTGGTGCTGGGTGGAGCCATTTTGTTACTTGCACTTAGACCAAAGTAAAACAGATTACTTTTCTTTACAAAAATTTTGGGGTGAGGGGTGTAGCATTTGTATTATAGTAGCACTGTCCCAGCAGGGCCGATAAGTCGCCCACTGTGCTGTGTATTGTGTACACACACCACACCAAGAAAGGACTGTCCCAGCCCCCAAAGCAGTGCAAAAATGACATAAGCAGATACAAACAGAAAAGGAGCACAAAGTAACAAGGGAGATTTATGACAGGGATAATAAGCAGCTATCACAGCACAGTCCAGGCTCCCTAAGCACTCTTGAGTGTTTTGTTGGCACCATAGTGCGAGAGGTGAGTTTTAAGGAGAAATTTGAAGAACAATGCAGAAACTTTGAAGATTTTTTTGACTCCCTGTTGCATTGCTTCCTACTTCCCATAGGCAACTTTAGGGGGACTATGATGAATGTTTAGTGCTCAGAAGCACAGAGCTAGGCTGTACAGTCAGGGGATTCATACAGCTTCCTTTCCCTCCTGGAGACCTTTAAATCTTCATAGGGGACATGTAAAGCATGGTTGGTGGTATCTAGAGTGGACACTTTCAGTATGTACCTTACTAAGCCAGCCCACAGTTCAAGCTGATTAGAAGTTTGAGCTCAGGGAAAGGGCTAGGAGGGGAATAGAAAGGAAGATTGAGGCCAGCCCAATAGTACATTGGTAAAGCTGTGCCAGATAGCTAGCAGAATGCTTGCTTGCTTGATTCTTGACCCTGCCCACAGCAGCATTCAAGTGACTAAACGCAGTATCTTGAATCAGGTATAGTGTGAGCAAACATTCTAAAAGTTTCCCCACATAGACAGGCCAGTGTACAGAGCCTCTTTTCTGATCTGCATTACCCCTAGTTTATCCACTCTGGCTCTGTCCTGGGTAAAGAATGCCAATTACCTCATTTTATGCCATTCAAAGGGCTTCAGTGAACCCTATTCTCTATTCAGCATCCAGGTTCTGCTCTTTGTCAAGAACCATGCCGGTTTTCTGGGTCCTTACACACAGTCAGAATGGATTGTTAGTCTTGTCCTAAAGAGCGGAGTACTTCACTGCAGAGCATTTGCCATCCTGGCACAGTCTGATTGCAGCAGTCTCTCACACCTGAGGTTGAGAACAAATGATTTAGTCTATAATTGAATGCTGATGTGAAGCTAGGCCACCTAATCTTGTCAAAACTCAAGCTGAAGGACAATATTGTTTGAGTTGCCCAGGACAAAGAAGTCCAACCAACAACAGTTTATATGCTGCTGAGAGGCATGTGGGATGAACAAAATGCCTATTGAAACAGATGTTAATAGCATTCAGAAGAAGGCTCAGTGTTTTGAAGTTCACCATTCACAATTAATTACAGTCACAAATAACAGACTCACAATATTGGTGATCTGAATATCAGAAAAAGCAGAGGACAGAGCATATACCCAATCACTCACCCATCTCACCATTTTACTTTTCTTCTTATCTCTTTTCCTCCCCTCCCTTCTTCTGCAGTCATTTCTGGCCACAACTCATCTTTCCCTCTGCACCATTCATCTCCCTTTCCTCTTTGGGAGAGAGTTCTTCCCCCAATGCTAAAGCAGGAGCCTAGAGATGAACAGAACCCCTAGTTTGCCTGATTAAGTATTGGCAGGTACAGCTGCCATCACATTTTCCATCAGCCAAAGAGGAAATTTGTTGCTGAGCTGGTGAATGGAAGAGGAACAATGTTTCCATTTCTATGTATCTGTTCTTCAGATTAGCTGACATGCAGAATTTATTTTCAACAAGTATATTTCTATGAATGTCACTTTGTCATCATGCTCCAATAAAATCCTAAAGCTTTCATCAGAGATTTCATAATCTCATACAGTGCGTTTAGAAAAAGGCAAAAGTCCATTCTGATTGCGGTTTTATGTTTCTAAAATATAGACAACACTAAGGACCCTGCAAAACAGACACCATTCTTTCCAAAAGCAGAGCATGGGTGCTAGGAGGAAAACAGGATTCACTGAAGCACTCCAGGACCAGAACTGACAGTGAGTTTAGAAGTATTTCTCCTGCAGTAATCTCTAAAGAAAATATCTGATACTTCAGCTTGTGACTGTAGGTACAGATGAAAGATTGAAACAGTATGCCTTTGGGGAAGGCCTGAGTGAAACCAGTGCCACTAGGCACACAAAAAACTTGATCATTCACTCAGCACATCATGACCAAGCCAGATCCCTTCTATCAGGTCATAGGCAGGAGTATCCACCAGCTTAATTTAAAGGGCACATTGCAACTACATCCATTTGAAATGCACAGGGTAACCCAGATCCTTCTGTCTTCACAGCTGGAAGATACTCCTGCCCATGAAGACATGCCAGCCCTTAGGCCAGCTGCTGCAGTGAGAGAATAATTTCCTGTTTCTGTAAGGTTTCATTGAAATGCTTTGGTCACAGCAGCCTGGAAAGTGGACATCAGGGCTCCTTTGAAAATCCCACGCTAGGTTCCTGCCCAAGGTAAAGGTACTGGGGGAGGAAGAAATGTTATGGTACAACAACAGGGGATTGCCCAGGAAAGCAAAAGATTTTGTACCCATTACTATTCACCAGGAAGCATCTTGCCCTGCCAGGGACCCCACTCCCTGTCCTTTCCCTCTAGTAGTAGGGAAGAAGAAAAAACCACCACACGGGAGATGAGATTTTGTGAGAATAAGAAACTCTTGTACTGAAGTTTTCCCTCTTTTAAAATTGTCTCAATCCCTTATAACTCATCCCCATATCTCTTTGTGAGCCACTAACAGATGAAATAGGATCTTTCTACTTTCAAGACAAAGCACGTGCCATGGATCTATTTCCAATTCTTTGGGAGAGCAGGAAACAACATTGCAGAGAGTTGGAAGTCTGCTGCTCAGTACAAGGAAGCCCATTTTAGATCTGCAGGAGGATCCAACAGATCAGTGTCATAGTTAAGGCTGGGAAACCTGCTCCAAGGCTTTATAATGCAGAGCCAGATACTGAGCGAGTGGAATGTTAGACCCTACACAGGCTTGGACGGAGCATGCAGTTTCTACAGGTTTCCTCTTCATCTCTATGTTAATCAATCACTTTATTAGTGACAAAAATTCACATGTCCACATCTGGGTATTACTACTTGACAATCATGGGTTTTAACAGAATTGCTGCTTT